ATTTAATATTAGTAAATTGTGTCGGGTTTTCTGACAGCTTATAGTTTTTCAATGTCTTCAGCAGAGGTAATGTTCATGCTGATTTTTGTCTCATCTGTAAAAGGTGATACGAAGTTGTCACTTGTATTGTTGTCTATAGCTGAAATGTGAATAAGGAAAACCAGTGGTGCAAAGATTGAGCTCTGAGGCACAGAGCTTTTAACTGTGATTGGACTCAATTTTATTTCGTTGACCGTTACTCTTTACAGTCAGTTAGACAGAAAATTGAATATCTATCACCCTACTTTACCTGTTAGTCCCGCTGACTTCATCTTATGAGCTATCACTCCATGGTCACATTTATCAAAGACCTTTGCGAAGGCCGAGTATACCACATCTGCAGTGTTTTTCTTCTAATGCCTCAGTGACTTTGTCGTAGTGGTCAAGTAGCTGTGAGAGGCATGATCTTCCCGCTCTAAATCCATGTTGGCCTGGGTTGTGGAGGCCATTGGTCTCCATGATACTAGTGACCTGACTCCTGATCACTCTCAAATATTTATATTCTGTGGTACGTTAGTGCAACTGGTCTATAATTCTTAGGTAAAGTTTTGCTTCCACTCTTGTGTTGAGGGACTATGTCTGCTGCTTTAAGCACTTCTCTTATCTCCCAGTGTTCGAGCTCTTCCTCCACACTACACTGAGTGCCTGTGCTACTGGCACTCTGCATTTCTTCATAAAGAAATATTCCGTGAGTCTGGACTCGGGGCTGAGTGCATGAGCATGTTGTCAATTTCTCTTTCAAAATGAGCAGAGTTCGTGTTGATATCAATTATATTTTCAGGGGTTTGGATATCGTGCATAAAGAAGCTTTCTGGATCTTCAACTTTCATTCTGTTTATTGGAGAGGTAAACATATCCTCATACTGCTTTTCTTTCGGATTTTGCTTATTTCTTCGTCATCCTCTATTTCGTTTTCGCATATGTTAAGAAATATTTTGAACTTTTCTTTATCTCCCGTATGACTTTCTATTCTATTACCATTTCTTCAATTTGATATTATTGCATCAGTCTCTGTTATATTTTATTAATCTCCCTGTTTAAATTATTCTTTTTTTTTGCAGGATGGTCGTGTCTGCTTAAGCATTTCCGTTTTTTTTTCCTTCCGTTGTGCCGTCTGTGTTCTCTTTCTAAGCTGGTCCGCTTTCTGGCTTTCCACAGTGGAACATGTCTAAAACTCATGAACAAATCCACAAGGGCCGTGACGAGGATTCGAACCTACGTCCGAGAGCATCCCAGACGCTGCCTTAATCGACTGAGCTACGACATGGTAAAAAGAGTTGAAACCGAAGTTCTACTGAACTTACTAAAGAGTCTAAAACACTCTTTGTATCCTTATGCAGTCAGTTGTTCTATTCCTTGCGTGGGAGTTTTGTTACTTTGAACAGTTTCCCTTTGACTGTTATTAAAATTGAATTTGTTGAATAACCCGTCTGGCTGCATCGATTTTTTTAGATGTATTACAAGTAGTGATGGTAGTTGTACTTCAATGAGCTTGTGGTCTGAGTATGTGGTATCTGACATTGTAATGTCCCTAATTATTTCTTCATTGTTTGTGAGGATCAAATCTAAAATATTTTCGGTCCTAGATGTTGTATTATCAGCTGGGTGAGCGAACATTTGGTACATAATGTAAGTAGTTGTCTGACACCTGTGGTAGTGACACACGGTGTGTGTATAGTTGTGCTGGCGAGGTACAGTTGTCTGACACCTGTGGTAGTGACACACGGTGTGTGTATAGTTGTGCTGGCGAGGTACAGTTGTCTGACACCTGTGGTAGTGACACACGGTGTGTGTATAGTTGTGCTGGCGAGGTACATTTGGTCAGATCTATTACAGCAGGTGGTGCAAACTCCCAGAGGTGCTATATGTACTAATAAATGTGAATGTGGGCCTGCGGGCCGCGTCAAGCAACAGTCTGTTGGACCAAGCTCTTACAAGTCAAGCCTGGCCCCGGGCCGGGCTTAGGGGTTACTTTGCCTTGAGGTTACCTTCAGATGATTTCGTGGCTTAGCGTCCCCGCGGCCCGGTCCTCGACCAGTCCTCCTGGTTGGTTGTCTGGTCAACCAGGCTGTTGGACGCGGCTACTCGCAGCCTGACGTATGAGTCACAGCCTAGTTGACCAGGTATCCTTTCTAGGTTTTTATCCAGTTCTCTCTTGAACACTGTGAGGGGTCGGCCAGTTATGCCCCTTATGTGTAGTGGAAGCGTGTTGAACAGTCTCGGGCCTCTGATGTTGATAGTTCTCTCTCAGAGTACCTGTTGCACCTCTGCTCTTCAACGGGGATATTTATTTATTTATATATTTTTTTTTTTATATACAAGAAGGTACATTGGGTTTGTGAGAATATGTGAGAGAGTGTCTCTCAAGATTCTCCCACAGCTGACTGGAATGGCTCATTGCAGTGCACAGTGCACCGATCTTCGTGCACAAGCCTATCTCTTAACCCTGGATAGTGACCTGGCATGTTGGGTATCTCCAGGATGCCCACTTAACCAGGAACACTTTCATAATACGGAGGCCGCCATATGTCCAGGCAGGAAGTAGATACAGGGAAGTTAAGCATACTTGCCACCAAGGGTCAGTGAGTACATTGGCCGGTGAAGAGAGACAGAGGGGAGACGCCAGCGACCGTCTGACCTCTGGGGTCAACCAGCGCGATGGTGAATAACAGCTATGATGTGGTCGTGACGTGTTCATGACGTCACTCCTGCTACTGCTCATCGAACGAGCTAATATGATTGGTTCCTGCCCATTTGCTGCAATGCTATTGATCAAATTGTAATCCCCTTGTGTGTGTCCCACAAGATGCCCTGAGCTTCAGGCAAAACCCATTCAAGTGAGGGAGACCAAACCCAGAGGACGGGTTCTGTTCTGTCTACTGGCCACTAGACTGAACACCGTCTATTCCTCACCGTCAAGTTAACTCAGCATCTCTACAATATACCACACACTCACCCAGAATCACGAGTGTGAATATATTGTTCAGAAGCCTAAAGTGACAAATCTCCAGAGCGAAACAGACTGGTGTCAGGTAACCCCTGGTGACAAAGATCGTTGTGAGTGACTTAGAGTGAACTAAGGCAGTGCCGCCGCCTAAGTAACCTGTGTGTGACTTTACCACAAGTGTACCTGCATGGTACCGCAGCCGCCGCCACTCTGTCCTGAGCGTGTACCTCAGTACCTCAGTACCTCGAGGCGCCCGCCGCCGCCCTCACTACTACGTGATGTCACCACGTTACTCATCGCCAGCGCCAGTGTGTGTGCGGGCGTCTGTCTGTTAAGCATACAGCCCACCCTACTGCAAGTACCCTCCGTGTGTCTACGAGCGAAACCAGCTGTCAGGCCACCTACGAGTGCTTGTATAAATGTGCCTGAGTGAGTGAGTGAGAAAGGAAAGGTACCTTATCTGTAAGTACAAGAATCTTGTCATTGTTTTATTGTGTCTGTGTTGATCTGATGGATCAACCACAGTTCTCACCTTCTCATACCTGTCACAGGTCATAGGTGAATCGACGGTGTATGCGTGTTTATCTGTGTGGTATCACTGCATTTCACTAGTCTGTGAATGTGAGCTTCACATACACCACACATTTAGTATTGTGTGTGATTATTATTGTGCATGTTATTGCCTGTCCCATTGACAGTGTATTTGTTGATTTATTGCGCATCATCATTACCCGAGTATCCGGTTGGAACTCTTGTGATCCCTTTGCACACCGGCGGTTAGGTTGCCGTGTTAATGATTGACTGTCAACTGTGTTAAGTTAGGTGTTTCTCCACGAGTGGATACGAGTCGTTTAGCCAGACGTCAAGAGTCTCGCTAATATAACCATAGCTTTGCTGATGCCAAACTAAAGTAAATCAAGCACCCTTTGTATCAGTGGTTAAGTTAGTAAATAAACTACTGTTAAGCTTTATGCGGTGTTTCCGTTGAACCACTTCTGAATACTGCCAACTATTACTTAAGCCTTCAGCTCCAGGTGTCTTCAACACCGAGTTGCCTATTATTCACTAAACTATAAATGTGATGAGGACCCTAGGAGTCCCTTAAAGTGTTAAAACATTGAGGAGATTCCAACGATCAACGTGGACCAGGACCAGGTGAGGCTAGTCTGAGAAGAGACCCTCAAGGACTCTAACTCGACCTTGCTCCCAGGCCCTGTACGGTTGCTCTCGTATTTTCCATTCTGCTAATTCCGACAGCTTCGTGAAGCATCTGCCACATGTACATTGGCGACGTACGCATTGCAGTGGTGAAAGCAAAAAAGAAAACCCCCACAGAATACATTGCATAGTATTTACAATCTTGTAAAGCCACTAGTACGTGCAGCGTTTCGTTACATTATTGGAATATTTAGAAGTAGAAGAACTGCCACAACCCCATCCAGGTACCTATACCATTGTCCTTTCACCTGATGCCTTAACCAGCTGTCAGAGCAGCATGGTCGCACTATCAGTCTCTTTATCACCTCGTAGCGTGTCTTGATTTTCAGGATGATGAGAAGTCCTGCCTTACCAATGATCCTCTTGACTGTTTACTGCTCCATAAATGTCATGGTGAATCTAATACCTCTGACGGCCCTCGTCTTATGTGTTCTGACTCTCGTATTGGTAACCCAAGCACTTGGGCTGGACGGTAGAGCGACGGTCTGACTTCTTGCAGGTCGGCGTTCAATCCCCGACCGTCCAAGTGGTTGAGCACCATTCCTCCACCCCCGTCCCATCCCAAATCCTTATCCTGACCCCTTCCAAGTGTTATATAGTCGTAATGGCTTGGCGCTTTCTCATAGCTCCCTTCCCCTCTCGTACAGGCATCGTCAATACCAGCCAGGAATATTTTATTATGTGACGGCCGGTCCAAAATGTATGCCAGTGTTGCCTGCTTTTTGTTTATAAATACTTATCTCGCCCTTGGGATCAGGTTGAGGTGAAGTAACGTGATATTGTCTGGTGGTTGCAGGTGTGCCCATGATGTATATCCTGGTGTGGTGGCGGTCGTTGCTGCCGTGGGCGGACATCACGGTGCCGGTGCTGCCGTGGACGCACCTCGTCTCCACCGTCAGTCCCTGGGTCGGCTCCACCATCTACCACCTCTTCATGAACCACCGCGCCGGCGAGTCCTGCTACAAGTCCCTCCTCCACCTCGACATGTTCGGCATCTGGATCACTCAAAGCTTCGGTGAGCGCCTCCTGCTCCCCGTCTTCCCCCAGCAAGAGGGCCTCGTGTCTTAGGAAGGCTGGGGGAGGGTTTAAGGAGTTTATATTCTTAAACAAAAAGTATGAATGTGTGACCTATAACAAATTATACCAAACTTTACTTGTGTAGACTCGTCTAAGGAAACTTTTGAGCTTGGTAAATGTGGGATGTACTACGAACACAACATGCTGGATTGAAGATGAAATATCTTTTTTTTTTTTTAATTGTGTTGGAATTTAGATTGCGGTGTATCCTGGCCTGGCGAAGTAGGACATGAGTCAGGGGCCAGATTCACAAAGCAGTAACGCGAGTACTTACGAGCCTGTACATCTTTTCGCAATCTTTAAAACTTTGGCGGCTTTGTTTCCAATTATTAAACAGTTAATGAGCTCCGAAACATCAGAAGGCTGTTTATAACAATAACAACAGTGGATTAGGAAGTTCTCATGTTTGTAAACTGTTTAATAAATGTAAACAAACCGTCAAAGATTGAGGACGGATGCACACGTTTATAAGTACTTACGTAACTGCTTCGTGAATCTGGCCTGGGGTTCGTAAGTACTTGCGTAACAGCTTCGTGAATCTGGCCTGGGGTTCGTAAGTACTTGCGTAACTGCTTCGTGAATCTGGCCCCAGGAATGTATCCTAGAATGGTGAGTGGTATACTTGTGTTGGGTGAATATCGTCAAGTGTAAATGCTAAAGAAGAAAACATATCTTAGGGAGTATTTCTTTTTCACACAGTACAGAGCAGAGTGTGATAGGTTTTTGAGAGGAAGAATTTCAAGGAGACTGTGCTGTGTGTTCTGAGGTGTAAGTTAGTCTCAACAACAGGTAGGCTTCCAGGAAGTCATCCTCGGAAGACTTACTTGGTGTTTGGGGTAAGCTCTTAATACATACACAAAGTAAGCTTTCGGCGAAGAAGTCATACGAAAACTTTCTAGGCTTTTAAGGAAGATTTCATAGATAACTAATTTACTCTTTTATGGAAGATGTCTTACGAAGACCTCTATCATTTGGGAAAGATGTATTGGACAAATTTGAGTATTTTGAACAAAATCTAATAGAAAATCTAGCTAGGTTGATGTATAATACACCCTATGAAGATGGGCTAGTATATTATGGAAGATCTAGAACAAAACTACATCTAGCGTTAGGCCCACAGGCAGTGAAGATGGCTCTCTCACAGACGACAACGAAGAAATGAGTAAAATGTTGAGGCTACAGTACGATTCTGTCTTCTATGAACCCTTAAATACACTCAACATCGATGATTCAAACGAATTCTTCATTAATGTTATGTCAACATCAAACCATATTTGAGATGTCACACTAACCCAACTAGGTTTTGAGGTTGTTATACACATTATGCCCATAGTGCACCCTGCACCAGGCCCTGATTCCTGGAATTTCATATTCAATTCCCAAATTCCAAAAAATCACTATCACAGGTCCTTAACATTATTGGAGACGGAGCCTAGAAAATTATGTTATCCCTCACATGCATAAAACAGCGCAGACAGCACTACTCCATAAAGGAGGTAATAAGGCAAAGACAAAAAATTATTGACCGATAGCTCTAATATCATATATCGTAAAAATCTTTGAAAAAGTGCTAAGAAGAATGATCACAAAATATATGAAATCAATATCTACATAATCCTGGACAAGATGGGTTCAGTACAGAACACTGTTGCCTCTCACACCTGCAGGACCACTTGTCTTGCATGGTCCTACAGGCCATGCAAGACAAGCAAAACACTCGTGTAGCAAAACACTACACTGATTTCATGTAAGCAGGCGATGAGTCACAATAACATGGCTAAAGTATGTTGACCTGACCACACACTAGAAGGTAAAGGGACGACGACGTTTCGGTCCGTCCTGGACCATTCTCAAGTCGATTGGGAATGACAATCGACTTGAGAATGGTCCAGGACAGACCGAAACGTCGTCGTCCCTTCACCATCTAGTGTGTGGTCTGGTCAACATTTCATGTAAGCTTTCGACAAATGTGACAATGGTGTTATCTCTCACAAAATGCACACAAAAGGATTTATTGGCTAAGTTGGAAGATGGATCTTTATTTTTGTAAAGACAGGATGGTTAGTTATACCGGGCCTGCTCAGTAGTTCAGTAGTCTTTTTATTAACACATTTAGATACATCCGCATTTGTGCAGCTGCCCTAGACTATATGAAGGGGAGTACACTGTGTCAAGAAGCTAGCTACGTGATGCTAAAATCCCCGTCACACAGGATGGTTGATCATACAAAGACATGTGATACAGTAGTCTGCACTGACAAACTCTGGGTGCACTATGAGGATCAGAGGTGGCTCATTGAGTTCAGTAGCATTCATAGTTTTCGAATCAAAATCTAGGGTCTCGCCAAACCACCTTACACTGATTATGTGGGAGGGTCAGTATTGACCCGAGCCTCTCTTAATAGAACATATAGGACCAACCAGGACCGGCCTATGTCCATCCCGTACCTGAGACCGTTCATCCTGGAAAGTTGAGTGAGACTAGCACCAAGCATCCGGCCTCCAACCTGGGACAAGTAAACATACCAACATTCTCTTATTCATATATATGGTGCAGGGAACACGTCTCCAGAGTTAAGTGTTTACTCATAAGCTACATTAGTGCACTAGACCGTGTCAGAGACTAACATGTTGTGTTTCATAATAAGGGAAGTTGTAGAAGGGTCGTCATAGTACACTAAGAGGGGGGCACCCACCTGTGTCAGGGGACAATCTGTCTCTTCCCTCACCACTCATCCCACTCTCGCATCTTTTCCTCTCTCTCTACATCCCCCCTCTTCCTTCCACCTTTTCTCCCCCTCCTGACCCTCTTTCCCATTTCTCTCCCCACACACACCCTCTCTCACCCCAATCTTCGCCACCCCCCCCCTCCCGTTGTGGGATATTTGGGGCTTGATTCTGATTATTTAAATATTAATGTAGTAAATTAAATTACGAAGGACCACCCGCTTTTAAAGTAAAGAGGGAAACTGAGAATTTCTGATCATTAGATAATTCCTAGATGAAACCAGTGACTATGGATAAAACTAGAAAGTATGATCATAATAATAATTAATGGGCTGTATTATTAAATGAAACAAACCTCAAACACCTACATTGGGGGGTTATTACTGGAGGTAAGTACGTCCAGGAATTAGTGTGGTTCGTTCACTAATTCAATTAATAATAATCTAATCCTATAAGATAATATTGAAACTGATATCATTAACATAAAGAGGAATATAAAATATGAGCATAATAATGAGTTACAGTAAACCACACATCAATCTCAAAGTATTCTGCACAAAATAAATTGCAATAGAATGGTAAAAGGAAATAAATCTTAGCTTGATGAAGATTCCTTTAGAAAGCCATAGAAGTCCTCTTATTCTCCAGACTCGGTACACTGACGAGTGGAACGGGTTAACATGGGGGAAGGCAGCATGAGGAATTCTTCTCTCGTGCTGCAAGATAAATAATTTCCAGTAGCAACTGATTTAACTACTCAATTTATATTCAAGAATATTAAGATTTACAGGTGACAAATTTTAATCACCTGTTATTAGGTGTTATCGCGCGTCTTAACGGACAATCACCCTGCTACTATCAAACTTCTACCTGATGCATCACATCAAAGAATACTTAGCTGTGGGCACTGTATAAGTATTAAGATTGCCGTGTTTCGCATCTCAGGCTCCGGCTAAGCCTATCCTGAATAGTGATGCGTTCCGCTGGCTGATCACGTGTCGTCAGGAACTAAGTCAAAGGGCTCCCTATTTGACACCAGCACTAGCTGAAGATACTATCTGCAAGGTTATTCACGCCTCACAGTGGCGACTTTCATCTCAGGATGGATAACACCTGCCCTATTTGCTGGGCAATGGCGTCTTCTTATGAGTACGGTAAGCGCAGGTCTGCCTCTCTTCGGCTCTACACGTGTACTGAGATGGCGTCCCTCTACCCACGCCAGCCCGCGTTCATAAAACAAATTATTGTCTCGAACATTAATATTTCTCGCATTTGCGCTTGAAACGTTAAAGACTGGACGGGTTTATTATTTAGAGGAACAAAATATTGTTATTTACCAATTTAAGAATAGTAAATATATAAGGGAGAGGAATTAATGTCTCCCCATGGCATTCATTGGTGACGTTAACTATATCACAAGATAGACGCTATGATTCTAACGCTCTATTCGGCTTTTAGTTAAGAGATCAATTCGTCTGCAATTAGTTATCATACAGAATGCTTTAATTATGGAGAATCGAATTTAATTCTCACACACATTGGATATAATGTGTTTACTGTAAGGAAATCTGACGCAATACTGGCGTCAGGTGACGTGAGAATTCTAGCCTACTGTACAGATGAAATTATTAGTACATGAGAATTCTACGTGTTGTTAATTTTACTTACTACAATAATTAGTATGGTTAGTAATAAGTAATGAGAATACAACAATGTTGTATTCGGTGTTGGAAATATCCAACATAACTCCGGGGGGAGGGTTCTAGGGTCGTAGTGTACTGTGTTGTACTGACCTATCCCGAAGTGATATTAAGATTAGTACATTAGTATGTTAATATGTTAGTATGTTAGCACACACATAACGAACGTCCCGGATTTATCAAGGACTTACAAAGACTTGAGTCTTGCTATTTACATGTCAAATGAAACATGTTGTTTGTAGCCTACACAATATCTATAGAATTCAACTCTCCCAATTTAAACTAACAGAATCTACGGTGATGCGATATCCTGGGTCATAGAGACGTGTAAGGTTTCGTTACGTGATATCACATCGTAGCATCATCACAGTTTTCTAAGTGGGATGTGAAAGAAATTACTCTTGATCAGAGTTGTAATAGGCTTGCAGTTTCCCTTAGTGGAAACATGCATGAAATATTGAAACATTAAATGATTAAGTTATCGGTAATCAGGAACACTCTAAAGCTCACAA